GAGAGGAAGACGGCGACATCACCCTCGAGGCTATTCCCGCGGTGGGTGCTCTTCTTGATCTGGACGAGACATCCTTCGAAGCGTTTGGCGTTGCCTTGAAGGCAGGCAATTTAGCCGAGGTGGTCATTATACGACCAAACGAGGAGATTAATTCGCCGTCGCTTCTGGATGAAGGTGTCCTGGAGGACACTAAAAGGGTGCTGAACGCATCAAAGACTCGCCGTCGGTCCTACCTCCGGACCGAAGTGTGCGTCATGAGATTGACCTGGTTCTCGGGACCCAAATACTGCGTAACACGCCAATGGCCCCTGTCAAAGGATCAGTGCGAACGTCATTGACGCCTTCTTTCATGCAAAGTACGTGGCAGAATGGTGCGTGAGAGCAAGTCTCCCCATTCGACACCCACGTTTTATGTCCGGAAGCCGACCGGTAAGTGGCGTATCGTTTACGCTTACAACAACTCAACGCTGCCACCATTCCGGCACAAACGCCAGTTCCTAGAATGGATAATTTTCAAAACAATATGGTCGGCTGTACAAAGTACTGCGCCCTCGACTTGGTCGATGGTTATTACCAATTACTCATGAGAGCGAGTGTTATTCTGCTGACAGCGGTGAGTACTCCGAGTTGGATGCTCTAGGAGTGGCTAGTGATGCCCCAGGGGCTGTCAAATGCATTAGCAACATTAATCGTATTGTGACGCAGCTGTTCAGGGCTCCACCGGGCGTATGCGTAGACATAGTCCGACGACATCTTCGTCCACAGTCATGCGGGGCACGGGAGGACATGTGGAAAACCACATCGTTCATTTGAGAGTGGTGATCGAGTGCATGGCACGAATAAGCTGTGTGCTAAAGCCGATATATGCATCTTTGGCGCGGAAGAAATTTCCTTTTCAGGTTGCTTCATTGGAAAGCGTGGCCTTCGAGCAAATCCCGATAAGGTCAAGGCCACTGTGGAATGGCCGGTTACAAAGAACCAAAAGGACTTGCGCAAGTGGCTTGGCCTCGCCAATTAGTTACACAAGTATAGCGCAAATTATGGGGAAATGGCACGGCCATTTTCTTTTCTCCTTAAAAAGGATAAGGAATGGTGTTTGAACAGCGTGCATCGGGAGGATTTTGACAGGGTCAAAGACAGCCTCCTTAACGCACCAATATTGGCGCTGCCAGATTCCGATCGTGCTTTTCGTGTTGTCATTGACGATTCGGACTTTGCTTTCGGGTGTACACTGCTGCAAGCAGACGCCGAAGGGCGAAATCGGGTGATCGCATTCGAATCCCGCCAGCTTAAGTCTTCAAAGAGGAACTATCCAGTCCATGACAAAGAATTGCTTGCGATGAATTATGTGCTTGTCAAGTTTAGGGTGCACCTGCTTGGCTCATACCCGTTTGTTATCTACACAGATCATGCGTCATTACGCACTGCGACTCTATCGCCTCATCTCTCGCAGAGGATGATCAGGTGAATCTCATTCGTTGCAGAATATGAATTCGAGGTGAAGTATATGCCAGGAGAGCAGAATGCTTTGGCTGATGCGTTGTCACGCAAACCGGACAATAAGCTGGCTCATATCACGACGGTGACGTCGTCAGTGACAGATTTTTGATCCGCGTCGCATACGCGGGTGATGATATGTGTCTAGCGCTGCGACAGGCTCTAAGGAGTAAGGAAGTTTGGAGTATTGGACTGGAAATTGTCGGCGCGTTTGCGCGCATGATGACACCGATATTTATTGAATAACGGGTTGCTGTATTAAACCACCGATTCAACGGATACACCACAAATTGTGGTTCCTCATGATAAGGATTTAAACACCGTATCCTTTATGAGGCCCACGACACCCCACTCAGTGTTTATTCCGGACGTGAGAAGATGTACAGCTCGGTGCGTTGCCACTATTGGTGTCTAAAGCTGTACAAGTAAACGAGCACCTATGTGTGCATGTGTGAGACGTGTCAGAAGGTGATACTCTCTCAGACTGCGGCGGCGCCGCTGGCCAGTGGACCGGTACCCACCGGGTTTTGGCAGTCCATGAGTATGGACTTTGTGTTTGG